CTATTGTAGGCCGTAAGGCTGAGCTGTTGATCACTAAGACTAGAGGAGATGTTTTCGAAATTCCTCATCCCATTGTGTGGATTGAGTGGCTGTGGTGCTCTTAGAGCCCAATTTGTTGAAAACCCTCCCTGGAAAGCTGACCCTTGGAGTGGTAACTTGCTATTCTCCTCTAAGTTTCTTAGTGGTCCCGTGTGTGGGCAAGGTCGAGGCACACGTGTACAAAGCGACCACGGTATAGGGGCCAGGTCGAGCTATACCACTTACAAGCGACCAAATCTAGCTAATATGCGTGACGACGCATTTGTGTGTTTACTGTTGTTTATGCTGATAATGTGCTGATAATTATAGCTGTTCATATTTCTTATATATGTTTTATATGCTGATTCTTTTCACTAGCTTACCCTTTGTTGTTTCCATGTGGTTTGAACTGCGATGATCATACTATGTATGGGAGCAGAGCAGGGTTAGGCTGGTGTGCTGAAGTGAGTCTGTAGCTGGCAGATGGAGTTTTATTCTTTTGTTGTTTTTAGCTACTTAGTGTAGCATTGCTGGATGTATTTTGTGTACTCTGTGTTGTAGCCCAGATTTGGATCTTGTGTATATATATTCTAGATGTTTATATGTATATACTTGTTCTTTTCTGAGTAGCGCTGTTATGTTGTGCTGTGTGTGGTGACCAGCCGGGTCATTACACTTGTTAGGGTAGAACAACTTGAATGTGAGTCTATCACGAGCTTAGCATGCATAACTAACCTCTTATGAGATTAATCTACAAACTACCTTCTAAATATTATGCCACTTATAGTACTTAATTAGGGATTATGGTCATCGACCTTGTACCTTACTCGGTTTGGTCACTTTATACACGTATGGCTTGACCTTATACCCCTATATAGATCTACATTGGTCACTTTATACATGTATAACTCAACCTGATCCCATACGGCATCAACTAAGGTCCTAAAGGAAATTCAACATTCCACTTCAAGAGTCAACTTCTCAAAAATAGTTTTCAACATTTGGATTTGTAGAGCAACACAATATCATATCATCACAATCAACTTTCTCTTTAGTTGTTAATCAACACAATTCAACTACATGCTTTAAGCATTCTCAACACAATCACCTCAACACTGCACAATATACAACTCTACTGTATTTCAACATTCAACAACTTTCAACTTTTAATAGTTTAATCATTAACTACACATCCTCCTAGATCAATGTACATAACATTGGGGTCATACAACAACTTATCTTATGTGAGTAATTTAGTCTATTACCCTATGTTCAACACTTAGTCCATATAAACAACAATTTTTCATTTAAAAACCCACGCTTGAGACCATTCTCCTTGAACTTGGCGTCATTGAGGGAGAAAGTCCCTACGTTAATCACACCTAGCATAACAAGACCTACACTTGACCCCATTTTAGACATAGAGTCTCTGTTTAACTCATACTTAACATCATAACACTAGCACCTAATGTCATCTAGGTAGAGAGCTTTTTCCTTGATCATGCCTGATGTCACTCAACAATGGCTTGGCATCACCAAGTTAGAGAGCTCCAAGGGTATCCACGCTCGATGTGATGATGTCATTCAACCCACGCTCGATGTGATCAAGTTAGAGAGTTATCCCCTAACTTATGCGTAATGCCACTAATCCTGCACCCAACAAGAATGAAATAGAGAGTCTCTGACATGCATCAAACTCGACGCCTTGAAGTTGCGTCCAACACGATGGTGAATTTTGCACTTGGCAGATTCACGAATTGGCCCATTCCACCTAAAACTTAAAAGATTTCTAACATCCAATGTGAAATAATACATATATGTGAGACCCCATTTCTTTCTTCTTCCTCACTACTCTCTTTTTCCTCAGTCTCATTGTTGCTTGTTTCTTCCTTCTTGGGTGAGCTAGGTGCTGAGTAGCTGGTGATCTTGCGGAGACTTCTCCTCCTTCACTTCTTCTTTCCATCAAGCTTGTTCTTCCTCTCCATTCAAGCTCTTTTTCACTCTTCTTCTCCGTTCAAGTTTCCTGGAGCTCGGATTTTTTTCGCACCGAGGTAAGGGAAGCTAGGATTCATGCTGGTTGTACGAAATTGAGTTTAGAACTCATTGATGGTTTGATGATTTGATGATTGTTGGCTGTTTTTGAGGAAAAATGGGCTTTCGGGGTTTCGGGGTTATGATGAAAATTTTGGGGGTTTTTGATGATGGATGGATGCAGAGACTAATTTAATCAGTCATTTTATACTATATCCAATCATTTATATAAAACGCTATTAATAATTAAATGTCAAGAAGAGATTTGTAAATAAAATGGTAACAGGTTATGAAAAAACAAATTTATTGATTTGTTTCTAACTTGATAACTCTTTTACATATATTAACTATTGTCACTAAGATAACATTACTAAAACTAAATTAAGATAACATCACTAAAACTAATCAAGCATCTTATCAATATCACACATCAAATCCTTAAAATTATTATCACTAAAATATCTCAAGTCATTAATAATTAATTTATATCATAACTTATTTACTATTGTTTTGTATCATGATTTCTCCTTCTTCATCAAACACTTAAAAGGTAAAACTATTCATCATCATTCATAAATTATATTTTCATAACTTAATCTTCTAATATATTGTGTAGTCCAAATTCCTTATCTAGAGCTATATATATGTTATTAAGTTTATCTTAATTTTATTAAAAAGCTAAGACAATTATCTACAACTTTTATGTTAACCTCAAGAGCTAAACTTGTTATCTACTACTTTAAAAAAATACAAAATCATAATGTTTCAGTCTAAATTTGATAGCTTGACATTCACTCACTAATTTGATTATAACTTCCTTTTTAGGTGATTTCAACAATTTCATAAAGGTAACATCCGGGGCACAACTTGCATGAATATTAAAAAACCTAATTTTGACATTTAAATCTACTCAAAAGGCTTACAACATACACATGCTACATTCGCACATAGAACTGGAAGTTCATCTTTTAACTTGCATAATTCAGTCATGGTTTAACATTTTTATGTAATTCTTAAGTCTAAATTATAGTCTCAAATATCTGCATTCTAATTGGAACTCTATTTTATCAATCACACATAGAGAAATC